CGATGGTTTGAAGTAACGCGCGTTATTTGAAACCATTGAACTCGCGTCACCTAGCCGGGAATCGAACTCAGGACCTTCCGATCGTAAAGCAAGCGCTACAACCACTACACTACAGGGGGCCGACTTATTTTATTAACGAATTTTTAACCGTTAACGGTTATCTGGGGTGGCTTGGTTAGGGACAAAGGGGGGATGGGACTTCGGGGAGGACAAGCGTAAGATTGTTCCCCGGGATATTTGAAGTGAAAAAAAGAGAGAGAAAATCCGGAAATCTTTATCTTAAAGTTTAAATTTGGTAGGTCCTCAAAATTTGACCATCTGCCCAGAGAAGTCCGCTTGTGAAAAAGTGCCTGATTTGACTATTATCCTGCAACGCCTGCATAGCATTTTTGAAGCTCGTGAAGTCCGGAAATGCGACCTGTAAGTTTAAGAGAATCAGAGCTCCATATTTTTAATCGAAAGATCAAGAAATCACTTTGTAGATTACGAGGATCTGTAATTGGACGTATTTCTACCAAACCAAACTATGTGCATTATGATGTGAGCCCTGTTATACATGTATTCTTATGGGTCTCAGGGCTCATGTCTTAATGCACATAGTTCCGTTTGACAGAAATACGTCCAATTCAGCGATCAAATCCATGAAATCCGATCTTTTTGGGGAACTTTTTTAAACTTAATCCGTGGCAGGAATGGATTTGCGAGCACACGGTGGCAACGAGGACCCCCACTCATGGTGCATGTATGGAGTGAGGTATTCTTTATGAATGGGCTCCACTCCGAGCCGAACTCCGAAGTGATCCGGTCAACCTCGGATGAGCTCGGAATCATCGAGAGTGGGTTTGCGGTAACGCTCCCCACCCCTGCCTTCCCATAAATCCTCCGTCTAGTTTAGACTTTTCCCCGCACGCAGCCAAGAATCGAATTCCGTCCATACGTCCCTACAATGCGCTGGTTAGTGGCTACGTCATTCGATGAGTCCAGACGCATTACTTCGTTTTATTCATGGCAGGGTGGTGGTATGCGTCGAAGTGTTTCTTGAAACCTGAAGATTCCATGTTTTGAGTCATTAATTGATGAATAATATTCTAATGATAAGATTATACTGAGCTAAAACAATGAACTCTACTCTACACAGAATTTGGACTCGCGGTTATGTTCTGTTGTTATGGTTGGAACCATTGATTGTCAATGAGAACTTGTGTTTCCATTCATGAATTCCCAAGATTCTCCTGGTGAAAATGCAATCTGCGAGGACAAATTCGGTAGCATTGAAATGTAGTTACGTTTCCTCGTCCGGGAAAATACGATTTTCTGTACGTAAAATAAATTCATTATCGTCCCCTCTTCCCTCACTCTTCGTCTCATCTCTTTCTCTCCCTTAATTGTATATGTTTAACAACATCGGTCCAGAGACTTGAACGCACGGTTAAGATAATTAACTCGCTATTTAAACCGCTGAGGAGTGCGTAACGTAACGTGAGTAATTCACGTGAGTGCCTCAAATTTTTCTCGCTCTACCTCTCTCAGTTTATTCTGTACCCCATCAATGGCCTTACTATTATTTTTGGGAACGAATTAGTCAATCAGGGCGAACACTGGATAAAAAGTCTCAATGAAGTCTTCGCAGTATTGCTTGACGCATAGATTCCTCGTCAGAGACAAGAGACCCTCCACTTGCCTCTT